TGTTTATTTTTCATCACAACCTAAAATTTTCTAAATATCAGCGTCATTTCACGTCATTCAAGAGTTCATACTTAGCTGATAGTTGATAATAAAGCTTGTTTGGCATGCTGTCCTGTGAGAGAGCTCTGAGCTTATGAGATCCTCGAGCCCTAGGGCCCCTCCTGTTTGCAGGGCAAGAAGGGGAGTTTGAGCTCAGGTAGATCTCAATGAACTCCCCTGACTTATTTCTGGCTAATGACAGATATGGCTAAGGAGAGATGTATGCTTGCTAAGAGCTTGGCTATGGTATCAAATTGGTATGTTCAATTTACTTAGGTTGCGTGTTTTTTGACTGTGGGAGGAAACCAGAGAATCTGAGGAAAACCCAAGTGAGCATGGGGAGAACAAGCAAACTCCACACAGACATGTCAACTGGTTTAGTAGGGACTTTAACCAGAGACATTCTTGCTGTGAGGCAACAGTGCTAATCACTAGGCTGCCGTGTCACCTATCTGGAAAGGAGGGGAAGTAGGGGGGGGGATTCTTCAAGACGAAAATACTGAGATAAGAAAATTCTGGTTATTTATAGTGAGTTAGGAATCATCTGATTGGTGAATAAATCGTGAGATGATTTGGGACTAGCTGTGATCAATCATAACCACATGATCCTCTCAAAATAATTTTATAAGTAAACTACACTTACTGGACGTCAAAATAATGTTATCCTTAGACGCAGATGACCTAAATCTAACCTAAGACTAACATCTTATGACATTGTGAGTCTGCTGGTTTGGATCATCCAACAAAATCAAACCATTTATAAAATAAAACACAAAATAACAACAATAATTCCAAATCATAAACAATGAAGTAGCACATCACTTCAGGTTTTATTACGCTATATATGAAGCATCGTCAACTTTATAAAATATTTGATCTCCCTCAGATTTTGGATATCTGCAAAAACAAATATAATTTCCAAATCAGTTTATATCATTGAAATTGAATGAAAGCTATTCTTAGTTCAGAAAAAAATAGGTCTGGAATTTCAGTCTAAAAAAAGTCTTTTCTTTTTTAGGAAGTTGAATTTGACATCCACTTGGCTTATAGATCTGAAGTGGCACGTCAATATGTCAGTTTGAATGGACGTGCCGTTTATATTTGGAACTTCTCCATCATCTAATGTTTGGTTTTCTCCACATGTCAGTGCAGTCCAGCGTGACTCACAAGGCAACATTCATCCCAAAGCCTATTTGTTTACCTACAACCTGACAATCAGTTCACAACGACTGCTTCTCTCTTCTCTCTCCGCTGCCAGCATGTTCTTTTCTACAGCTGACCCGCTCACCTCAGATCTGCAGCAGTGAAATGTGCTTGATGTGCGGGTCAGTATCGATTTCCAGGACTGAGAGAAAACTCAGCAGCTTTATCGTTCTGCATCTCCCCCTCGCTGGCTTTCTTCCAGACTTCACACGTCTCCTTAACTTTATCCTATGTTCAATCTGCTTTCATGTGAGAATTATAGATTTCTTTCTGCCTAGCTCTTATCTACCAGTGTTTCTTTTTTTAGTGCCGGAGCCTGTAATCCAGGTAAACTCTGATCAAAACAGGTCATCGGGGAACATCATCTTACTTTAACTATCAAAAAAAAACAATCAAAGAAGAAAGTGCATACAGGCTACAATTGAGATAAGGGTGCATCCAGATTAGTCATTGACAGTAAGCAGGTTTTTTGTTACAGGTTTGGGAAAAACTTTTGTTGTTTGCTAAAAACTTTTGTTACAGGTTTGCGAAAGACAGGTGACAAGATGGCTCAGTGGTTAGCACTGTCACCTCACAGCAAGAAGGTCACTGGTTCGAGTCCTTGCTGTGTCAGTTGGCATTTCTATGTGGAGTTTGCATGTTCTCCTTTGCATTTCCAAAAAGTCCAAAAACATGCAGTATAGGTGAACTAAATAAACTAAATTGGCTGTAGTGCATGTGAGTGCACTGTAAACCCCCTTGTTGTCTTTGCTGAAGATTTTAAATTTATATAACTTGACATTACTTAGAAATACCAAGTTTTAACATCAAAACCTAAACAGGTGTGTTTAACTTAAGCAGCAAAAATGCTTTAATCAACATTTTAATTTCTCTAAATGATTCACCATGTCTGTTTAAAATGATTGGTTGCACTTGACTTCTGCCTTGACAACCTCTCTGACTGGTCAATATACACTGTAAAACATGCAGGGTTCCACACAATACATTCATGTTGTCCCAACACAAATTGATTAAGTTAACTGAACATTTTTAACAAATTTATGTGGATTAAACATAACAAAAATAAGTTGTCCCAATAAAATCTCAAGAATTGTGTTGTTTCAGCTTATTTTAAATAAGCAGTTTAAATGAGCAAAAAATATGTTTTTTGAATGTTTATTATATGACACAAGGTGGTCATTTTGCTTGTAATGCTGCAAGAACAGCAGGACAGAGGCACTACCTGAACCCATCTAACGAAAGAGAAAAGTAAAATTAATAAGTATATTGAAATGCTTATATACATTTTATTAACTGATATACACGCAGAGATGACAAGGTGGCGCAGTGGGTAGCGCTGTCGCCTCACAGGTTTTCCCCCACAAGTCCAAAAACATGTGCTATAGGTGAATTGGGTTAGCTAAATTGTCCGTAGTGTATGTATATGTCTTGGTCCTCCAGGGTAGGGGTTGAGCATTGGAGTAACAACTCACCTCATAAAAATGAGATGTTATGAAACACCAACATGGTGTGGCTAAATATTAACTTCAATATGGGAGTAAGTAAAGAATATAAAAGAAAAATTTGGATGGTTAATCTATTAGCCATTTTAAGTTATCTGTACTTAAACATTTAAATTCAGACCACATTTGGTAAACTCAATTTATTGTTGTCGATTTCCCATTACTTAAACTAACTGAGGGAATCACTTTTCTCAAATCATTTCTGTAGTCTCAACTTATCAGGATTTACAGTATGTGTTTGGGTGTTTCCCAGTACTGGGTTTCAGCTGAAAGGACATCAACTGTGTAAAACATAAACTGGATAAGTTGTCGTTTCATTCCGCTGTGGCGACCCCTGATGAAAAAAGGGATTAAGCCAAAGGAAAATGAATGAATGAATGATTTTTTAAAAAATTGTTTACAGTAACTGATGTTTTGCAACTAAAGCATTTTTCTTTCTTCTACCATAAGTCAATAAAATGTCAAGATGAGGAAAGTTTTTACAGAAATGTAAGGAAATAGGCATGCTTTTCAAGCATTAATGGCATGGAAGACACCCTATAAAGTACTCGGCAGTGGCCAAAAAGTGTTTCTGAGAGGTTATACTTTCATTATTCTCAAAGGAACTGTGGATTTTACAGAAGCTGTAGTAGATGAACAGATCAACCATTTTGAACTGTGCAATACAGCAGTGCCTCTTAAAGCACCTGCTACATTAAACACTTTTAGGTTTTCAAATGTGAAAACAATTCCATTACAGAGTTGCAAATTGTTCAAATGTGTGCATTATGCGAGCATAAAAACAATATTTTTGCAATATTTCAGTTAGTCACATTTTTAATTTGCTATTTCAAGTTGTGTAATAAAAAAAGTGGTGGACTTAAAATGAGGCGCCACAGTCCAAATGTTTTTTCAGTGTAAATTAATAATCCAGTTTGAAACTATTTGCATTTTTTTTTGCTAAATGTGATTTGATTATACGCATCAAAATATATAGTACTTTTATCCATTCATTCGTTTTCTTTTCAGCTTAGTCTCTTTATTCATCAGGGGCCGCCAACTTAACCAGCATATGTTTTACAAAGCAGATGCCCTTCCAGCTAAAACCTAAAACTGGGAAACATCCATACACACTCATACACTATGGCCAATTTAGCTTACCCAATTCACCTATAACACATGTCTTTGGACTGTGAGGGAAACCGGAGCACCCGGAGGAAACCCACACGAACACGGGAAGAACATGCAAACTTCGCACAGAAATGCCAACTGACCCAGCCAGGGCTCAAACCAGCGACCTCCTTGCTGTGAGGTGATTAAGCTACCCACTGCGCAACCGTGATGCCCTTTATACTTTAATGAAACCCAATTTAGCTTACACTATCACAAAGCATCTAATATCCTCCTGACATCCTTCATAACTACAGCAAATAATAAATAAATAAAATAAAATAGAAATAAAATAAAATAATAAATAACCTCTGGAATAGAGACTAAATAGAGATTCAACCGAAGGAAAATGATTGAAAGAATAAAAATATTATTAATATTTACTTTCTCAAGCCATTAATCAACAGATGCTCTGTGAACATGGCAGGTTAAATAATTGTGTCTGGATTTTAATTGAACTGAGCTAAGTGGCTGCTAAAACCCATCTCAAACACGTATCATTGATTGGAGTCATTTTAAAAAGGATGCAGAGAGTGGGTGGTACAAGTGGGGAAGTTGTTAATTATGTAATTAGTCCATCCATTTGCACCATTTTAATCAATCCAGGTTGTTTTGAAATTGTGGATATAATGGGTACCTACTGTACATATACAGCCTCCCATATGTGAATGTTCACTCTTTTTTTTCCATTACATGTCAAAACACCACTTTAAAGGCCAAATAGTTTGTTTGATTTTTAAAAGCTTGGATTTTTGTGATCTCTACTGAAATATTCCATTTAATATGAAATTAAAGCGTTGTGTTGTTTTAACTAAAAACATCTCTTGACAAGCCCAACAGTTGTGTTAAAAATGTGATCAAAAAATTCAGCTTATCAGTTGGTTATGCCCATATTTGACCCAAAGTTGAATTAAAACAACTCATCAATTTTTAGAGTTTGGAAGTATGCAAACTGGTATGCATCTAAACTTTTAATAGCTTGATTCAATCTTACACACAAACACCTGCTCTCTACAAACATCTGCTTTCATCTGTGCCGGCGGTGACAAAGAGCATATTGTCTCTATTCCCAGAATACAATCAAGTAATGAAGAATATTCAACTCACATGGTCTCATCATTGAGGAACTCCAGTTTGCCGGCCACCTCGTCATAATCTTCTCCAGCTTTGGCAGTGCCCTCAGTAGTGTGGTACGGGACTGCCACCTTGCCCCTCGCTCCAGATGTCCTGTGGACCTTCACCTGCATGATCCCCACGCTCTCGCTCACTCTTGTTGAATTGCTCTCGAAGGTGAAGATCCCCGCGTGGTCATCGTCATAAATGGTCACTGTGGCAGAGTGAGCATTTCCCAGGGCGGCTTTTGGAGGAACGTGGCTGGAGCCTATGATGCTGTTCCCCGGCGACACCGCATTGGGGTCGAGGATGGAGACTTCGGCACGGTGGACGACTCGAGGGTTGCTGAGGTGAACGTAGAAATGCTCATCTTCCTCGAATATGTCGTCATCAATCACGCCGACCGTGAGCTCCTTAACCGTCTCTCCTGGTTTGAAGACCAGAGTGCCCTCAGCAAACTCATAGTCGGATCCGGCGTTAGCGGTGCCATCCTCTGTGCGATAGTCAACCTGCATACAGGAGCAGTGTTTGCTGTCATACAGAGCAAATGTGAGGAAGCAATGCTGTTTATGTATTCTGAAAAGGTCAAATGAGTGTACATAATCATATATCAGAAATCCTATACTATATAATAATAAAAATTACATTGAAATGCATTGTGTTTATCATGTGGTATTATTGTGATTTTGAATTTATTAACAACAACTATAATAATAATATTATTATGATTTTTATAAAACTAAAAAACTTGTACTACTACAAAAATGATTTTGTGCAAAATCACACTAATTACTGTAGTATTAGGGTTAATAAAAAATTAGGGCGTTGGATGGCGGGTTGAAGGACGAAAGTGAAGAGCAGGTGGTTGTTGCAGACAAAAGTGAAGAGGGTTGGGGAGTCATGGGAGAAAGTGAAAGTCATCAGTGGACAGAACTGTGTGCATGTATATATTATAATGTCATATTGGAGTGATAGAAACACAATAAGTCTCTTTTTGAAAGTTACCTGACGTTAAAATCAGACCCAACTCCCAGTGAATTTGAGGCTAACCGCATTGTGATGTAGAAGTATGGTTTTCCCCGCCCACTGAATTGATTAACAGGCACCACGGTTCTATAATTACATGTATACCATACCTGCCAACACTCCCATTTTTCCAAGGAGTCTCCCATATTTAAGACCTATCTACCCCCACCCTACCGTTTTGTTATTGCTCTCGGAAAACTCCCGAAATCCGAAAACGCCTCCCATCCTCAGCTTTTTGATACAGTCTGTAACACTCCCAGGTCACCAACTGTGGTATAGTATCCGATCGCAACGACCGACCGCTGTGTGTGTGTGTGTGTGTGTGTGTGCTGCATACGGCATTTGTGTGAGACTCATCATTTCAGAAAGGCTTCAATAAGCTCCACCACAAAAACATGGAGTACATTTACTTGGTATTTTTGACTAATGAGCTGTAGTTCAGCTTCATTCATGTCTACCACTGACAGCTGTTTATCTTATGTAATGCATGAAAAGTTGACATGCATGTGGAAATGACTGGCGGGTAGAAGCAGTTCATTTGCATTTAAAACTACAGGCTACAAAAACAGCTACACTGTATTCAGACACCAAAATTGGCAGATTCTGGAGGGTATAATAAATAATCTGATGGGTATTTTGAGCTAAAAATTTACAGACACATTTTAGAGACACCAAAGGCTTATCTTCCATCTTTTAAAAGGGGTAAAATATGTGCCTTTTAAACAATTAAGTTCAAGTAACTTGTGGTGTATTACCTGCCTGTTTTAAGACATTGGCTGTTTATTATAACTTAAAAAATAAACATTCTGCATGATAATATTTTACACCGGGAATCCTACCTAATACCTAAACCCAACTGCTTAATATTAATAACTATTAATAAGCAGCAAATTAGGAGTTTCTAAAAGTCTCAGACGGTTAATGGTGTGTTATTAATGAGAATTGTCCCTTAAAATAAAGCGACCCAATGTTTTATTATTCTTATCATTAGAGATAAAATGCTTTAGATGTTATGATTATATTTAAATCTAATTTCTAAATTTAATCTAATTTCTCATGGTGAACTTTGCAGCCGAAAGGTTCAAATAATAAAATCAGCTAATCTGAAGTCTGTTCAAATATTGTCATTATGCTGCTTGTCTCCTAAGTGCGGCAATTATTTAAAATAGCTCTAAGAGCACATCTTCGCCGCTGGGACATGTGTAGGTTTCTGGCCTCTGAATGATATCATATCCATATAATTAAAGCACAATCACAGCATGGTAATCACAGCTCTGTTGTGTATAGACAGAAAAATCATTACCTTGACGGTGCAGCCACTATCTCCTCCATGCCGGGTCACAGAGAGCTTCAAGGAGCCGCAGTTCTCGAAGCATTGGTAATGTGAGGGCTCAAACTCCAGGTAGATGGTGTGAGGGTCCTCCTCCTGCGGGTTTGCCTCATGGCAGCTCACCACCTTCCTAGCCTGGTCTGCTGCATGCTTTTTTAGGATGTTCCCAGCGCCGATCATCATCCGAGTGGCTTGGATGCGATAGAAAGCTCGACTCTTCTGCTGCTGCACCAGCACTTGATAATTGGCCATCTCAATCAGCTGCTCCATGTCTTTCTCCGGGTGTCTCTGCTTCAGCTCCTTCAGAGTTCGAGCCATTTCTCTTCTGGCCTCTTCTTCTTCTCCTCCGCCTCCTCCTTCCTCTACACCAGCCAGCATCCCATCTAGTGCTTCCTTATGGTGGGAATTGGCGCCTTGGCCATCCATCTCCATGTCCATCTTGGTGAACATCCCGTCCCCTTCTGTCTCGATGATTATGCCTCGGTTCTTGTCAGTGCGGTAGCGTTTGTGGACGTATTTGTAAAACAGCAAGCGGCGGTCGGCGATCCAAGCCTGAACCACGCAGAGCGGAAAGAACAGGAAAGTCAGAACGGCCTCCCAAACTTCCACCACACCAGGAGAGAAGACCGACAGGATCAAGTAGAGCCATATGTAGGCGAAGATACTCCAGGCTGCCGTCACAAAGAAGACCCTCAGGTGCTTGATTTTGCGGACTTCACCATCTGGGACGACGTAAACGCAGAGGGCGATGATGATGAACATGTTGAAGGCAGCACTTCCTACGATTGTACTCGGGCCCAAGTGACCAGCTTCGAACTTGTGTCCGCAGACTTCAATCACGGATAATAGGATTTCGGGAGCTGATGATCCCAAAGCCATGAGGGTCAAGTTGGATACGGTCTCGTTCCAAATGCGAACAGTGGCCGTGGTGGTCTCGCCGTTGGGTTTCTTGATTGTAATCTCCTTCTCTTGAGAAGTAATGACTTCAATGGATGACATGAAGCGATCTGCGATGATGGACATGCCCAGAAACATGTAGATGAGGGCCACGAAGTAGACGATGGCACGTGCCACCTTGTCGCCCACCGAGGGGTTTTGGGGGTTCCAGATGGGAAGGACGACTCCTTCAGAGCAGCTGTCCTCTCCTGAACAGTTTCCCGGGCCGCTGTGGGATACGTCACCGCTAGCCTGAGAAAGATGAGTGAGGCCTGAGAGGAAGATCAGGAGGAGGACTGAAGAAAGGCATGGTGTGATGGAGGAAAACGAGGATCTCGAAAGGCGCAGATGAAACATGGTGGCGGTGTGGAGGTAACCTTGTCCACCAGTCGCAGAGTTGACGATTAATAACCCTCTGAAACATACACAAATATGGCAGAAATATTAGATAGTAATATAAAATAGAAATTTCAGTAATCATTTTAAGAACAGCTTCATTGCTACCAATACAGTTCAGGTAAAGTTCAGACAGAATAAAGTTACGAAATTGAGTTTCTGACAGCTTGCATCATGGTAAACTCTTAGAGGGCTTAGAGTGCAATAGCTAGTCAATCCATAAACAATATGACTGCATTACAAGGAAAAATAAATGCAATAATTAATGTAGTATAGTAATGAGACCTCCTCTGTTTCATAATGTTTTCATTCAGCTTTTCATTACAATTTAGTCCCATACTGCATGTAAGATCTGTTTCAAGGGGAGGAATGAAATGAAAGTTGCTGCTTGATCAAATAATCTACAATACTGTAATAGAGCCATTTTCAAAGGTCTCAGTATTCAAAAAGATATTTGATTCATTTTAAATACTGAAATGCAGCATTAAAGGAGAATGTGAAAGGGCTGTGAAGTTGTCAACATGCACTCTTCCTCTCATACTGTGATCAAAGCCACTGTGACTATGATCATCATATATAGACCCACCATAAATTAATTAACACCTAACAAAAAATTAATTGATGGCTTTATTGACAAAAGGAAAATAAGACAGACTCAATCCAGTATGAGATGTTAAGAGTCCTACAGAGATCTGCTATGTTATTATAAATATTATAGACTCAAACAAACCGTATCAATTACAGTACATGAAAACAAACTGGAAGTAAGGAATGCCAATATTTTGCCAACCATCATCCTTAAACGGTATATCCACAATATAAATAAAAAAAATAATTATTATTCCTTACATTTATATAGTGCTTTTCTAGACACTCAAAGCGCTTTACACATTGGGGGTGATATCCATCACCAATGTGCAGCATCCACGTGGATGACGCGACAGCAGCCATATTGCACCAGACCGCACACCACACACCAGCTGATTGATGGAGAGGAGACAGTGTAATGAAACCAATTATAGTATGGGGATGATTAGGAGGCCATGATGAACAGAGGCAAGTGGGCAAACTTTGGCCAGGATGGCGATTTTTTTAAAGGACATCCTGGGATTTTTAACAATCAAACAAAGAGTCAGCACCTTGGTTTAACGTCTCATTCGAAAGACGGCACTCACTCAGCAGAATAGTGTCCCCTTTACTATACTGGGGCATTAGGACCCACACAGACTGTAGGTTGACTGCCCCCTGCAGCCCTCACTAACACCACTTCTAGCAGCAAACTAGCTTTCCCATTCAGGTACTGATCAGGCGCAGCCCTGCTTTGCTTTAGTGCAATCGCAGAGAGATAGCTGCCGGCAAAATGCATTCACTTCAGTATTGTGCAAACTATTTGAAAGTGTGGTCAATTTGAAAATATTTGAAAGGGGGTAACTAGCTAGATTTGTTTAAGGGTTTTAAAAACTATTCGGCAGATCAAGTTACAGTAAAACACTTTTTTTTTTTTAAAACATTATCATATTTTATATACTTGAAAGCTAATATATTATTGTGATGACAACGTTTAAATTTTCAGCATCATTGAACATTCATTACAATTTCAGTGTCAGATGATCCTTAAGAAACAATTTCAAAGTAGGGCTGCATAATATATTGTTTCAGCATCGATATCGCAAAGTGATGATTCGCAATAGTCACATCGTGAGTATACAGAATGTTGATTCTGGACTATAACTGATCCATTCGCAAGTGTTTTATGAGGCCTGTGACTGTGTGAGGGGTTTGAAAGCATTCAGTCCTATGAAATTGTACCGTTTGTTACTTTAAAAAATAAATAACGATAAATTCTATTGAATTGTTTATAAAACAAAGACTATGCAGGATTATTTTACATTTGATTATTCAATTACTGTATACCTGAATACAGTTTGACTCCTCTAAAAATAATGAACTGCTGTTTATTTAGTTTGTATCTTTTTCTTTATTGAATTTATCTATGCTTGTAGATTGTTTCTTATATATTATGCATATACACTTCCCTACATAATCATCACAATCAATCTAAAATTCTAAATTCTTTCCAAAAAGTTATTTGACACATCTAGTAAAATTGTATTAGTATCACAATATATATCGCAGAATAAAAAAACATCACAATGTTAGATTTTTCCAATATCGTGCAGCCCTATTTCAAAGTGCTGACTTGGTGCCCCAGTGTTGTTATTTATTATTATTATAAACAACATCTAATATTATAACTAATGGATTGTATATACAGTTGAAGTCAGAAATATTAGCCCCCCTTTGAATTTTTTTTCTTTTTTTTAATTTTCTCAAAATATGTTTAACAGAGCAAGGTAATTTTCAGAGTATGTCTAATAATATATTTTCTTCTGTAGAAAGTCTTATTTGTTATTTAGGCTTGAATAAAAGCAGTTGTTACTTTTTCAAACACCATTTTAAGGACAAAATTATTAGCCCTTTTAAGCTAATTTTTTTCCGACTGTCTACAGAACCGACTTCAACTGTATATATAATGCTGGTTTTGCTCACAAAGTTGAAATATGCAGTGCTACTTAATATTTTTGTGTAAACCACAACACTTTTTTTCTCAGGACTTTTGATTAACTGAAAGGAACATCATTTGTTTAAAATAGCAAATCTTGTGAAGCATAAATGTCATCACTGTAAGTGTCCTTGTGAATACAAATACTTATTTATTTTGGGGACAGGCTTATGCTGGCCAGTGTAATTGTGAACACAAGCATATGCAACCCAGGTTCATAATGGATACGTACCCCTGTATACATTTCTGGAGAGCTCCAAATCTTTCCTAGGAGGTAAGTTTTTGTTTTGTTTTTTGCAGTTTTTGTTTTCGTGAATTCACCAGAGGCCGCTGTGTATACTTTTGAGATTTTGAATTTCTCTCACGAGTGCCATTAGTGCCTGCTGTTCTTGCTTAAATCCAACAGATGCTGCTGTCGACTGAACGATTGAAGGATTGACCCACCGAGTGATGCTCTCACCCACCCCCTCCCCTAACCCAAGCGAAAGTGTTTTCAAAAGCAATCCAGAAAAAGAACAGCCACCTTATTTTTATCTTGTTTTCAGATCTTACCATGTTCTCACCCTGTTATTTACTTATTTAATGTATTTATTTTTTTGCCTTTTGTTTTTGTTTTAACTTCTTTCTGGAAACGTTCTTCACCAGACTCGAACCCCATTGTGAAAAGAAGCCATCGCCGCCATCATACCGCTCCGTAGCTCTGTAACAAAATGCAGCCATACATACCCATGGCCACATAATTCGTGCTCCCCAGAAATGTATATGGGGTACATATTCACAATGAGCCCTTGTTGCAACATATGCTAATAAAGAAGAACTGGACAGACACACATAAATCAAGCACACACAGCACTTTCAATGGAATATGCAAGAAATAAAACGACTAAACCCAAAAAAGAGCCTTCTGGTCAGTAAACTTTACACTGACAAAGCAAACTAAGATGATGCAGATCCTTAAAAAACAGTCTATAAATCATCTGAATAATTGTTGTCAAAGGCATCAACACACACAAGACCAAGCAGAAACTTTCTTTGACAAAGAAATGACAGAAAAATATAAGATTGATTTTCTTTTATCTCATTTTCACTCCCTTTTCTCCATTTTGTAACTCTCTGCCTTTTCATAGAGTAATGCAATTATGCAATATTGTAAATCCTGCCAATAAATCAATGTTTTTTTTGTTCACGTCAGTGTTTCACATTAACTCTGTCTCTAAACAAATGGTACAAATGTGCAATGGTGACAGTCAGTAGAGCACATCCCACCCTCTCTTCAAGAATCCCTGTAGAGACAAGTTTATATAAGAGCTGGAATCACACATGCGTGACTGCTGCATTTGGCCTGTTGACTAAGTCACACACATGCACACACACACTGGTGTCTTTAGCTGTGTGGATCTGCTGAGAAATATGAGATCATGGACCACTACATGGATGTGTGATGATGGCAGAGCTGTCACTTCAAGTACAGGTCAACTGCAGGTCATTAATGTGATAGGGTATAACCTTTCTTAGTTTATGTGTACGGGAAAGGTCAGACCTCTGTTTGACATGTGAAATGTCATAATAAGTGTGAATCATTGCAGATGCACATGACGCATTCATACATGAATAATACTGTCAAATTAACGTGTTAGTTTAGGGCTATTAGCAAAAAATAAATAATATAAAAACTAAATTATGAATCTATTGAAATATAAGTTGATTTAAATTTTTGATCCAACAAATGCAAGGTCTTTGCCCAAAACTTTTACTGACTTTAAACTTTATTTTAAAATACTTTAAAAAAGTATTTTAATAGTAGAGTTTAACTGTGCTCACATAGAAATATATATTAAAATATTAACATGATTCTGAAATATATTCATTCATTCATTTTCTTTTCGGCTTAGTCCCTTTATTAATCCAGGATCGCCACAGCGCAATGAACTGCCAGACTATCCAGCAACTACCCTTTAAGCTGCAACCCATCCCTGGGAAGGTTCTGAAATACACACACATTTTAATTTATTATGATTTATTTTTATTGCTATTATTATTGTTATGGTAGTTGTTGTTAATATTATTATCATTATCACCATTATCATTGACATCATCATTATTATTTTATGCTTCAGAGCACATCCAAGCAAACAAAAATATAAACACCATGTACAAATACCTATGAATACTAATAAGATGGCACTTATACATTTAAACATAGATTAAGAGCAGATGTTTTCAAACTCAGGTCTGCCTTGAACAAGAGTTTCATAGAAATGCTTGGAGAAAAGAAAAAAGACATACAAATTTTAAATAATAAATAAAAAAATATTAAAGGAGCATGATAACAAAACATTTTGATAATTATAAAATAATTAAAAAGTTATTTAATAATATTCAAATTAATTATATGCAAATAGAAATTTTTAAAAATCCTAATTAGATTCAAATATTTTAAAAGCATTTTTAATACT